TAAAAGCCGGTGGGAGCAGAGAGGAACGGCTCAAACCCGCTGAACACCCACCCGGCTCGAGTTCCTCCCCTCCCGCAGCCCTGCAAGCGGGGTCAGCCCCAGGATTTCCCCTGGATGCCGCCCCTGGAGCGATCCTTTCTCCCCCCGGAGTCGGGGCCGAGTCTGCACCATCTGCTCGAGCGACCAATTTTATTACACAGCCAAGACCCGCACGGGGCGAGGGGGCAGTCAGGGCCACGGCTCCGGCGCAGGCTCTGCCTCAGCTTTGCTTTTCAGCCTCTTCTTTCTGTTTCTTTCCTTCCTCCTCCTCTTCCCGCTGGCGGTAGGGACCGGGGATGGCTCCCTGCTCAAGTCGTCCTGCACTGGGGCATCGCTCAGGACAGCGCTGGCCGCTTCCCCCAAGTCTGGCAGCGGGGCCCGGGGGTCCTGCCCAGGGGGAGCAGCAGCTGCGGGACAGCTTGGCTCCCCATTTTTGGGAGGGACTTTCTTTTTCAGACCTTTCCTCTTCTTTTTCTTGTCTTTCTTCTTCCCCTTCCTCTCTTTCTTGCCTGCCCGAGGTGGGGACAGCGGGCGGGTGGGTGCGTGGTGCTCCACTGGGACAGCTCCTCCACCTGCGCCGCTCCACAGGGGGCTCAGAGGGACCCCCCTGGGCCTCGCTGCGCGGTCGATGAGCTCCCCACCGAACTCATACAGCACCGGCTCCCTGGGCACCGCGATGGCCACCGTGTTGTACGCCTTGCACCTGCGGAGAGAGAGGAGGCGTGGGGTGAGGTGAGCCCCGGGGGGGCCAAGCCGGGGGACGGTCCCCGTGGTGGGGGGCACTCACCAGACGTAGAGGTAGGGCTCCACGCACTCCTCCTTGTAGGCGAACTCAAAGCAGGGCACCTGGATGACGTTGAAGAAGGCCTGGCCCACCACCCGTGAGGCCGTGTCGTTCACCCGCCGCAGGCACTCCTTCAACCTGCCGAGGGGCAGAGCTGGGGTGAGAGGGGCTGGAGCGGGGCTGCCGGGGGGGCTGGGATCCCCCCCAGGAATGTAGGGGTGCGGAAGCGCACGCAC